TTGTTATGTCCAAATAGCAATATATTGAGTCAACCTTTCCTTATACAATGTGCACTCATCAGTATATTATGTGGATCCATCTTTGTATGTAGTCAACTGAACAATATATGATGTCAATGTGTCTTTATATGATGTCAATATAATTATCATTATACGATGTGCATTTTTGAATATATTCTGTGGAACCATCCTTATATAAGGTCAGAATAACAATATATTATGTCAGTCTGTCCTTATATGATGTCAGTCTGTCATTATGTGAAGTTATGAATATATTATGTGGAATAATTCTTATATAGAGTCAACATTATATGATGTCAATGTCTCCTTATATTATGTCAATCTATCAATATACACAGTGCATTTTTCAGTATACAATGTAGAATCGTCTTTATATAGAGTCAACTTAACAATATATGATGTAAATGGTCCCTATATGATGTAAATCTTTCATTATACGATGTGCATTATAATAATATATTTCAAATATGAAACTTATTCTTCTATATAGAGTATGAATACAAGTATATTATTGGTCAAAAGTCCCATATGAATGTTCGTCTTTCAATAAAAATGTTAAATGCATGTGCAGCCAAATTTACAATATAAATTATGTGGGAACCATTCTTATATAGAGTCAAAACAACAATATATTATGTACATTCATCTTTATATAGAGTCAATTTAACAATATATGATGTCAATGCGTCCTAATATGATGTCAGTCTTTCATTATATGATGTGCAATTACAAATATATTAAGTGGAACCATTCTTATATAGAGTCAAAACAACGATATATAATGTAAAATCGTCTTTATATAGAGTCAACTTAACAATATATGATGTCAAATCGTCCTTATGTGATGTCAATCTTTCATTATATGATGTGCAATTACAAATATATTATGTGGAACCAAATTTATATAGTCGAAACAACATTATATTATGTAGATCCGTCTTTATATAGAGTGAACTTAGCAATATATGATGTAAATGCGTCCTTATATGATGTCAATCTTTCATTATACGATGTGCATTCATAAATATATTATTACGATTATATAGAGTCAAAACAACACTATATTATGTAGAATCTTCTTTATATAGAGTCAACAGCAGTTTAGAACCGCCTGGGATTCCCTCAAGTCTTGAGATTTTATCACAATGGGATATAGACAGTTCCCGCCACTTACGGTGAATTGTTAGATATTTAGCCCCATCAGTATAATGACAAAAGCACACAATATAATGATGTTTGCACTTCATATAAAGCAGCGGTCGTATAATAATAGATGCATATCGTATAATAAACGATTCACATCGTATAATGAAAAATTGACATATATTGATAAGTTGACTGTATATAATGATGCAACCACATAATATATTCATAAATGCACATCGTATAATAATAGATGCACATCGTATAATGAAAGTTTGACATTATATATTGATAAGTTGACTGCAATAATGATGCAACCACATAATATATTCATAAATGCACATCGTATAATAATAGATTCACATCATATAATGAAAGATTGGCATACTATATTGATAAGTTGACTGCAATAATGATGCAACCACATAATATATTCATAAATGCACATCGTATAATAATAGATTCACATCATATAATGAAAGATTGGCATAATCAGTGTGGCCATACCACGTGACTTTTCGGGTACGGAACACGCCGATTTTTCACCCGATTCAGGTATGTTTTTTCTTCATAACTTATTTATTACTCAACCGATTTTGTCAAGTGATGTGTGGCAGCTGTAAAAGTTGTCCGTACTTTACTTCTGTGTTATATGTTTCAGGTCCTTCGGGATCATTGAGTCCAGCACATTTAAGTGTTGATAATTGAGCCTACCGCTCAAGCCGCTGCTAGGGGGGCGTGAGGGATGTTGTATTTTTTCTATTATCCCTCATGTACAGACACAATCAACCGAATCTGCAATTTTCATGTAATTTTGCTGTTTTAATGCTTCTGAAAGATCACTTTTTTTCAGATGTTTAACTGCCACTACTGTGACGCGTGAACACAAAAATGGCAATTATGGTGGCTGATTTGGTACTTTGCGCGTTGTACATGAACACCGCAAAACGTTCCGTACCGCAAAACGTTAACGTATATGGACATTTTGCGGCGCAATCGTCACATTTTTCTGTACATTTGCGCAATGGTAGCCTGGCCGCTAAACGTCCATATATAAAGTTTATATTAATTTCATTTTGACCGCGCATTAATGATGCGGCTAATGTCTGATCAGGATCCATGCTGTTCGCTTACAAACCCTATAACAAGTAGAGAAACGCATAGCGAACAGCATGGATCCTGATCAGACTGCGCGGATGCGCAAGCTGGTCTGGATCCATGCTGGTCGCAAACCCATTATATTGGTTTTGTCATGACGCGACTCAATTAATGCTCGTGCATGAAATGCAGTCTGTCTACTAGATGTTATATAATTATACATGTACATGTAAAACATTTTTTTTAGGCTTACATACTCAATTTAACCGAATCTGCAATTTTCATGTAATTTTGCTGCTTTTAATGCTGCCAAGGGATCACTTTTTCCCAGATTTTTATACTTCACAACAAACAGGTGTCAAGTGATGTTGCACTGTAAAAAGTTGTTCCGTACTTACTCTGTTTCATATTTTTCATGTCCTTTACGGATTCATTGAGTCCAAAGCAATTAAGGTTGATAAATTGAGCCTACCCCGCTGCTAGGGGCGTGAGGGATGTTGTATTTTTTCTATTATCCCTCATGTACAGACACAATCAAACCGAATCTGCAATTTTCATGTAATTTTGCTGTTTTAATGCTTCTGAAAGATCACTTTTTTTAGATGTTTAACTGCACTACTGTGACGCGTGAACACAAAAGTGGCAATTATGGTGGCTGATTTGGTACTTTGCGCGTTGTACATAACACCGCAAAACGTCCGTACCGCAAAACGTACGTATATGGACGTTTTGCGGCGCATATCGTCCACATTTTTCTGACGTACATTTTGCGGCAAAAATGCATGGTCCTGCCGCATAACGTCCATATTTTAAAGTTTATATAATTTTCGTTAATTTTGACCAGTTTTTATCAGATGCTATTGTGTGTTAATTTTAGCTCACCTGAGTATGCGCCTGTCTGTCCGTCCAAATTTAGCTTGTTACCACTCTAGCATCAACATACCCTAAGCAATATGTCCAGGGTTATCTGCCCTTGAATTACAATATATGTTATATTTCACACAGGGACCCAGCACAGTGTTGGGATAGTGTAAGAAAGTAATTTAGAAAAAAAAATATATTGTATATAGAAATTGATATATAGACAAGGGGTTGAACTCGCCAAATCGGCCGAATGCCCCTAGTCCAGTATAAGTCAAAATTGCAAAGTCATTCTTGCGTAAATTATATAAAGCTATATATCAAATTGCAGCTAAATGACAACACTAGACGTTGACAATAACATTACTGTCCCCACTTAAACCGTTTTTGAATAACAAACCGATATTTCGGATGAAACATCGTATTTTTGCTAGGTCGGACAAAACCGTGCAACCTGTCAACGCTCGATTTTCTACGTTTTTAAATAAAAAAAGTCAGAATTATATAGAATCGCACTTTAATGTTTATTTCGTCATATCTTTACCTGAAACAATATGAAAGTGACAGAACCAATAAAAGTAACGTTTATAATGAATGTATTTGAGTACAGAAAATATGGACGATATGCGACGCAAAGACACACTCTCGCCGCAAAACGTACACCAAATACGATATGCACCGCAAAACGTCCACATGTGTACGATATGCGACGCAAAACATCCACACGAGTACGTTTTGCGGTACGGACGTTTTGCGGTGTTACAGCACGTTGCGTTGTTGTTAGCAACCTATATCGTTATCGCCTTTTCGTCTTGTCGCTAGCGACAACACGACAACGCGCCGTTTGGCGCGTCTAAAGCGAATACATGTATAAGTCCTTGTATGGTAGCATAGTAGTGTGGTAACAATGGGCGTATTGACATTCTGCCTCCCATATCTATAGCTGTCATATCTACATTTTTATGTTGTACATTTTTAAAGTTTGGCGCTTTGTCGTCTTGTCGTCCTGTCTCAATCGAAGCACGCCAAACGGCGCAATGTCGTGCGGTTCGTGGTCGCGATGTGTCCCTGCAGATTGGCTTATAAGCCAATAATTCGATTTGATGTTTTGAACCGAGCGACAATGTGACATCGCGTCATCACGCCGCACGACAACGCACCGTTTGGCGTCTATAGTTAGCGACAGGACGACAAGACGAATGTCCGACAACGCGTCGTGTGGCGCTTTGTCCTGTTGTCGCTAGCGCCAACACGACGCAAAAATCGTTCCAAATCAGCCGCCATAGGCAATTGAACTTCATGAACGCCACAAATTTATAATTTCATTCTTTCTTTACATGCATGTAAACTTTGTTCTGATGAAATTTATATTACGGATTTACGAAGATTAAATCGTGGTGTTCGGCATTGTTAGCGACAGGACGACAAGACGGAAGTCCGACAACGCGCACAAAAATGTTCCAAATCAGCCACTATAATTAAATCAGCATGTTTTAATCACAGACAGAATCAATATCTATAAATAGGAACTAAACACAGTCTATAAAAAGACCAGCTACGAGATGTAAATTCAGCATAATTATAATATACTTCGCATCATTCAGTAGCCTGTTCATCTTTGTAACGTTCAAACATTAATGATCGTGAAAATTAAAAAAAAAACTGTAAATATAGAAAAACTAAAATGGGAAATTTGGTCTTTAAACGTTTATTTGCTGATAAAAATGTACGGATATTAATTATTTGATATAAAATTCCAACAAATTTAATCCGGGAAAATTTTGAACTGGGTAAAAATAATTATTTTGTGCTGGGAAAAGGGGGCTTTACGAGAAGTACTACAAAAAAAATGTAAAAAATGACACCCAAAATAAAATATGGGAGGGAATTCAATACGCCCATTGTTACCACACTACTATGCTACCATACAAGGACTTATATTCGCTTTGGATTGTTGTGGGAGTTTGTAAGTATTTACATTAAAATTATCAAAGTGAAGGAATAATTACCTTAGATTCTAAGATTGGAACTATTTTGTTATTTTTTTTAGAAATACATGTATTTAAATTATTTCCATCACTTTTGAATAAGGGCCGATAACCTGACTAGGAATTGATATGATATATTACCCAAACATCTTCATGCTGATTTATATTTTGAGCCGCGCCACGACAAAACCAACATAGTGCATCCGCGCAGTCTGATCAGGACCCATGCTGTTCGCTATCAGATTCTTTACTTGTAATCGGGTTTGTAAGCGAACAGTATGGAATCTGATCAGACTGCGCGGAAGCGCAGGCTGGTCTGGATCCAAGCTGGTCGCAAACCCATTATGTTGGTTTTGTCGTGACGTGGCTCTTTTAAATTCGTTTGAGAACAACTTCAGCTAGCACAGTCTGGTCTCATATATCAAATGTGGTACATGAAACAGTTTGAACCCCACTGCAGCTAGATCAGTCTGGTCTCACATATCATATGTGGCACATGAGACCATTTGAGCCCATTTTCAGCTAGATCAGTCTGGTCTCATATAACAAATGTGGTACATGAGACCATTTGAGCCCATTTTCAGCTAGATCAGTCTGGTCTCATATGTCAAATGTGGCACATAAGACCATTTGAGCCCATTTTCAGCTAGATCAGTCTGGTCTCATATATCAAATGTGGCACATGAGACCATTTGAGCCCATTTTCAGCTAGATCAGTCTGGTCTCATATAACAAATGTGGTACATGAGACCATTTGAGCCCATTTTCAGCTAGATCAGTCTGGTCTCATATGTCAAATGTGGCACATAAGACCATTTGAGCCCATTTTCAGCTAGATCAGTCTGGTCTCATATATCAAATGTGGCACATAAGACCATTTGAGCCCATTTTCAGCTAGATCAGTCTGGTCTCATATAACAAATGTGGTACATGAGATCATTTGAGCCCATTTTCAGCTAGAACAGTCTGGTCTCATTATCAAATGTGGTACATGAGACCATTTGAGCCCCTTTTCAGCTAGAACAGTCTGGTCTCATATATCAAATGTGGTACATGAAACCATTTTAGCCCATTTTTCTTCATACTTCAGCTAGACAGTGTGGTCTCATATATCAGACTTGGTACATGAGACAGACAGTTTGAGCCAAACTTCAGCCATTACAGTCTGGTCTCTTAAATAAGATGTGGTACATGAGACCAGTTGAGCACAACTTCAGCTAGAAAAGTCTAATCTCATATATCAAATGTGGTATATGAGTCCGTTGCATCCCACTTCACCGAGAACAGTCTGGTCTTATATATCAAATGTGGTACATGAGACCATTTGAGTCCCTTTTCAGCTAGAACATTCTGGTCTCATATATCAGATGTGGTACATGGGACCATTTTAGTCCCATTTCAGCTAGATCAGTCTGGTCTCATATATCAAATGTGGTACATGAGACCGTTTGAGTTCCATTTCAGCTAGCAGAGTCTGGTCTCATATATCAAATGTGGTACATGAGACCGTTTGAGCCTCTTTTCAGCTAGAACAGTCTGGTCTCATATATCAAATGTGGTACATGGCACCATTTTAGTCCCTTTTCAGCTAGAACAATCTGGTCTCATATATCAGATGTGGTACATGAGACCGTTTGAGTCCCATTTCAGCTAGATCAGTCTGGTCTCATATATCAAATGTGGTACATGAGGCCGTTTGAGTTCCATTTCAGCTAGCACAGTCTGGTCTCATATATCAAAAGTGGTACATGGCACCATTTGAGTCCCTTTACAGCTAGAACAATCTGGTCTCATATATCAAATGTGGTACATGAGACCATTTGAGCCTCTTTTCAGCTAGAACTGTCTGGTGTCATGTATCAAATGTGGTTCATGACACCATTTGAGTCCCTTTTACAGCTAGAACAATCTGGTCTCATATATCAAATGTGGTACATGAGACCATTTGAGCCTCTTTTCAGCTAGAACTGTCTGGTCTCATGTATCAAATGTGGTTCATGACACCATTTGAGTCCCTTTTCAGCTAGAACAATCTGGTCTCATATATCAGATGTGGTACATGGGACCATTTGAGTCCCTTTTCAGCTAGATCAGTCCGGTCTCATATATCAAATGTGGTACATGAGACCATTTGGGCCTCTTTTCAGCTAGATCAGTCCGGTCTCATATATCAAATGTGGTACATGAGACCGTTTGAGTCCCATTTCAGCTAGCACAGTCTTGTCTCATATATCAGATGTGATTCATGAGACCGGTTGAGTTCCACTTCACCTAAAACAGTCTGGTCTCATATATCAGATGTGATACATGAGACCGGTTGAGTTTCACTTCACCTAAAACAGTCTGGTCTCATATATCAGGCTTTAAGGACATGGTTGTAGATTTTCTAGATAATGTGGACACTTATATGACGTTAGCATAAGAGGTGTTGTTAAACGTCAAATATCCTCACCAAATGTAAACTAATTTTTTTTATTTCTTTCAGTAACCGTGTCACCGTGGATGAAACTATAAAAGAATATTGCGAGAAGATACAGGAAGATGTTCTACCAAATGAGGTACCTGTTCTTATTCTCGCCAATAATCACGACGACTCGCGCGCAACTTCACTAGATAATATCCGGGAACAATTCGGGAAAGAAAAATGCTTCATTGATAGACGTTGGGCGGTCCATGGTGTCGACATTTGTAACAAAGAAGACAACGGATTGTTTGAAGCGTTTGATTGGCTCTCGGATCAGATGATAACCAATGAAAAACAAAAGATGGCTTTGGATATATTAACCGGAAGCGATGCCAACGGAAAGACTAACACATTTGAGAAAAAGCTGCGAGATAAAGAAGATAAAGGTTTTCTATCAGAATTCGTTAGGTCGCTGAAAAGGATTGTTTGTCGGCCAGTTATTCGACAGTAACTAGGTACATCATCGTGATGAGACGGGTATGAACTAGAACAGACAATATATTCGAAACTATTAATAGAAATAGAAATATACTGCTTGGCGGAATAACCAGGACATTGTTGATATAACCATGAATATTAGTACGTATATGACATAACATTGTTATATACTCGTATAATAGTGTAAAAAATTCATGTATATCTGAAGCCCGGAAGGTAAACATTGGTATCTAACAATCATGTATTCATGTAGAAGATGATAAAACATTAATTGATTGGTCACTCATATGTAAAATGTAGATTAGATCTGTAAAATGTATACATGTAGATGTACATATTATGCGAATGAGACTGAAAAAGTAAAAAGTCGATAGAAACAAGTCACCTTCAAATGATAACAAACTTAGTGTGTAGAAAAAATGGTTGATCGTCTATAAAACATGTTCACGGTAATGTGCATCCGTCTGTATATGGTCCAATAAAGCTGTAACAGAAATTTTCCTGTAACGATTCACAAAGCATTGTTTAGTGATAAATGAACAGCCTTTTTTATATAAACATATGAGAACAGCAAGCTTAAATCCCCTGGTATGTCAGTTTAATGGTTATCTCAGAGATTATTCCAAAGTCTCTAAAACTTCTGTACTCCGAAACCTCTCTGTTGTCATGACCTATTAAAGTATGCCTCAAAACGAACAGTCTGAAAATGACACAGACTCGGTTTTTAATTGTGCCGGAATCTATCTTTAACATAAAATACTTGCATTGAATATATATGTCTGTATATTTATTGAATTTCTACTTGATTTATTATTAATGATAATGGAAATGTTAGCTAGTATACCAAAATTTCTAAATGGACATTGATTATTTGTGTTGAAGTTTTGTTGGGAGAAAAAAAGCAACTGCACAGTTGTGCAATGTTCAGTATCGTAACCATCAGAAACTGACTCGTTGACATAGTTAAAACAATCAAAGAACTAAATCAGATTATTAAAATAACTTAACTACACAGATTAATTCAGACAACATCACAGCAAAAACCTGGTTTAAACTTGCAAAAAAATTAACAAATAAACAAAGTTCATCAACAATACCAACACTTACAGATGGCTCAGCGATAGCAGAATCAAACAAAGAGAAAGCTGACCTTCTAAACACCTATTTTAGCAAACAATCAACCATCGAAAACCCACACCATCCCCTTCCACCTCTTGAAATCATTACAAACGTCCTCATTTCTGGTATAACAGTCACTACTCAAGACGTTAAGGACTCTATCAATTCTATGGACTCAGCTAAAGCATCTGGTCCGGACTTAATTAGCCCAAGGCTCATTAAGGAAGGTAAGGATGAACTAGCTTCACCACTTGCAAGGTTTTTCAACAAACTTCTTTTAAAATCTGTATTTCCCTCCTCCTGGAAACTTGCCAATGTGTGTCCTATTTATAAAAAGTCTGATCCTTCTAAAACATGTAACTACAGACCTATATCTCTATTAAGCTGTCTTGGAAAAGTTATGGAAAGATGCATCCATAAATACTTGTATAACCATGTCATTTCAAATAAACTATTAACACCATTTCAATCAGGATTCATTAAAGGGGATTCAACCATAAATCAGCTAACCTTTCTTTACAATGACATCAGCAAAGCCCTAGATGAAGGAAAAGAAGTTCGAGCAGTATTTTGTGATATATCAAAAGCTTTCGACAGGGTTTGGCACCAAGGACTCATCTATAAACTTTCTTCTTTAGGCATACAAGGTTCTCTTCTTCAGTGGTTCTCATCTTACCTTGCTGACAGAAAACAAAGAGTCATCGTATCAAATACTTCTTCAACACTTTTAAATATCAATGCTGGAGTACCTCAGGGGTCCATCTTAGGCCCTCTCCTGTTTCTAATATACATTAATGACATAGTCACTGATATTGAAGCAAACATTCGACTTTTTGCTGACGACACTAGTCTCTACATCATTGTCGAAGATCCCAACTCTTCTGCTGCAATATTGAATTGCGATCTTTCAAAAATTTCTCTTTGGTCTAAAACTTGGCTTGTCTCATTTAATCCCTCAAAAACAGAACCTGTCCTTTTCTCAAGAAAACGAAACAAACCCGCACACCCTTGTCTAGTCTTTGACAATGTGAACATTTCTAGTGTTAAAGAACACAAGCACCTTGGTGTCATCTTTTCTGAAAATGGTAAATGGACATCACATATAACATCAAACGTTAATAAAGCTTGGCAGAGAATTGGTATTCTTCGAAGTCTGAAATTTCTTATTTCTAGAGCGGGATTGGAGAAATTATATATAGCCTTTATTAGACCTTTGCTTGAATATGCCGACGTGATGTGGGATAACTGTAGTAATGAACTATAAAATGATATTGAATCAGTTCAGCATGAAGCAGCAAGAATCGTCACAGGAGCTACTAAGTTTTGCAACATCAACAAATTAATTAGCGACCTCAGTTGGGATACACTCGCAGAAAGGAGACGAAAACATCGTCTCGTACTTATGTATAAAATGAAAAATGGTCTCGCTCCTGATTATCTCTCTGGTCTGATACCAGAACATTGTAATCAACCCTACACTCTTCGCTCTAACACCGATATCCCATTAATACACTGCAACTCCCAATCATATGCTACTTCTTTTCTTCCGTATACTATTCGCCAGTGGAATTCTTTACCTGGAAATATTAGAAATGCATCCACAGTAAGTGCTTTCAAACACAAACTCAACTACAGAAATATGTCGTCTAATAAAAAAAACATCTGTATAATTTTGGCAGCAGGAAAAACCAAGTAAACCATACACGTCTCAGACTTGGATGCAGCTCTCTTAATTTCGAATTACATAGGAGAAACTTAATCTCGTCTCATTTGTGTACATGTGGTGCTATAGAAACTGTTTCCCACTTTCTGCTCAGTTGTCCTAAGTACCATATCATACGTCAGCAATTCTTTGACGACTCACCCTGTGCACCAACCCTAAATAATCTTCTTTTCGGCAATGATCGCCTAAGTATGGACATAAATCAGAATCTGTTCACACTTGTCCAGAGCTTCATTGAAGCATCAAAGCGTTTCGATTCATAATTCCCGACTCAGCGTTTTAAACATCGTATTTCCATGACAAACTGTGTGACACAACTTTTGTTTATTGTTATTATTATTTTTATTTTTTTCTCTTTTTTTTATTAAAAGGGAAAATGAATAAACAAAAAATCAAGTAAAACCTTTCAAAAAAATGTTAATTTAGATCAATTTTGAACTTAAAAACATGCACTGATCATATAAAGTGAAATAATAAAGACGAAACTCCATCATGGAAAGGAATTAATATAAGTGTAATGCTTGTTTTCCAATCCATATATATTGTGATGTAAAAATGTTACATGCTTGTAAAAATTGATAAAATAAAATATGTTTAAACTAATCAAAGAACAGTCAACACTAAATCGTGTTTTATTTAATGTTAACACGCATCATCCAGCAAAATATATAAATTTTCCCTTCCACAGATTTTATTGGAAAATGCATAAAATTATAATAATATTTCATCGTCTCTCTTAAGTATTCCGACTGGATATACAATAATGACGACTCTTAATGATCGATATTGATAATTGATAATAATATAATGATTATCGTACAATAATAATATAATGATTATCGTACAATCATTTGTTCCACGGAATGTTTCAATAAAAGTACTTATTGCATTCAATCTTATCAACTTGGTTACGTTTTCATTTCCAGAGTCCAAAAATTCTATATCAAATGCATATCGTACCTCATATAGCCTCGTTTAAAACATAATCTACATTTGCACACTGCTGAATCACTAGATGGGGATTTATCTTGGCGTATTTAACGGTGTTTCTATCCAACAATAATAAGTTTATATGTGTAAGTGAGAGCTTTGGCTCTATGGTAATAGTCATGAAATGCATCAGAAATATTGGAACAATCAAATCTGGAGAAATATACTACATAAGACAATGTTCTTAATGACCTGAAGTCTTGTCCTTTTCGACAATTTATCTGTATATGTACACTAAATGCAACGTTCACACGGTTAAAAATGTCATAATTACATTTAAATGCACCTGAGAAAAAAAAGGAAACAAAAAAGCAAAAGTGAACTAGGAGAGTGTAGCTACATAAGAGTAAAGTATATGTGTGTAGCATGTTATTGATATAAATCAAATCGTTATATGTATAAATGGTTCTCGGTCTTGCCCCTGTTTCAATTATAAGAGATCATTTACAGAAATACTAACTTATAACTTCACATAACTCTAATATTTAGTTTCCGTAAATGATAAAGCCTTTTATCAAAATGAGTGAGCAAGATCATCAAAAACATAATGATATTCATCTTCCATACCGTTAAAGATTCTTAAGGTACATTGTTTCAGATCACTTTTTTCAGTCCTCTTATTTAAATGGTGCGAAGACTATCTTAGTTATGCAAGTGCATATCTTAATTTCGAGCAATGCACGTTTTAATTCATAGACGCCGGGATTTTAAAACTTACTTTAAGATTTTTTCAAAAATAGAGTGAAGTTTTCTTAATAACATATTGATATGACATGATCGCGTGTGTTCCGAATATTTGATTAACAGATTATAGCATTAAAGTATAAAAAAGAGATATCTGTATAAATTGCTAACATTGGATAGCCCCAACCCAATGTTTTCTTATACTATTAATCAATAACTATGATACACCAATAATTTGAATATAATTTCCTACATAAACTATAATTTAGTTTAGAAATTGCATATGTTATTACACTTTATTATCAATTTAAGATTGCTTTTTTCTACAGTAACTGTTCATTTATCTACAGTTGTAAATTTTCATACTTCCAGGATATATAGTCCTGTATGCATATACTGACTCATAACTATGTCATTATCAACATATATAGACCACTGATCGTTTAGAATAATTAACCTATCGCAGTGTTAGACTATGTTGTATAACATTACATGTAAACATTTTTCTTAATGAAATATCAAATTACTTCACATTAAGGTCATTCGATATGTGCACCCGCGGGCATTATTAATATGCGCTTTAAGTTAACGGCTGTCAAAGTAGAAATTAATTGATTTTCTAGTGTTACATGCATTTGCAAATATCAGTCATATTTGAATGGTGTTTCAATATTTAAAAGTGCAATAACGTGTTTTTAACATGACACAATTTTCAATTTATTTAAGAAGAGAATATATAAAAGAGGACAACATGTATAATTTCTTTACTTGTTTACATTCACGTAATGTGATCAGATATGATTAGTCAAGCGGAACTGTCGCGTTCAAATTACAAATATTTATCATAAGTCGGTACCCGGATAAATCCAAATACAAATCACTGGCGAGTTGTAAATGGGATATGGACGTACATGTATCGATTGTTTGAATGCGAAAGTTTTTATAGAATAGTAAATATACATTTAGTATTGGTATTAAAACGCCATTATTTGAACAATCGACAGTTTATATTTGCAGATTTGGACGTAATTTTATGAAAGAAAGTTACAGCAATTTTTTCTTTGTTGAATTTGTTTACAGAATTTTAGACAGAGTAATGTTTGTGTTAGCGGGAAGGCTGGTCTGTTCATAGACTGTAGTCTTGTGATATACAATGCACACCGTAGATGTTATTGGGGTAAGTGTTTCATATACTCATTAAATGTTTATTTGATTTATTACAGCTATTTAATTTGTAGTTTGATCATAATATTCTTTCATCAATTAACAAAACAGTCACCTAAATTATAAATAATAAGATCTTATATATCTTCACAGACAAAGTTTTCAATATTTCAAGTATAACTTTATATATATCACATTATAACAGTTGCAATGTAAACACATCTGTTACACATGTAATATTTTTTTTATGAAATTATATATTTTCCATGTATGTAAATGAAATACAGTATTGTTCATTATCGCATGTGTTATTGATCAAATTTAATTCTTGTTATTTTTACTCTCTCTCTCTCTCTCTTTCTCTATGTTTATATACATGTTAATAATGAGAAAAAAATGTGCATGTTTGTGATGAGAAAATAACAGACATTTTAGTAATAATTAGTGCTTAACTACATTGAAACGTATATGTTTTGTATAGCCGGTACACCGTTAATATCATACCAAAATCAGAACCATATCATATCTTATCAAGTGATGATTGTTGATCAAGCGGTCATTTGTATTAATTTATTTCTGTTATAATGAAAATGCTAATTATAGTATAGCTTGTTAATATACTCGTATGTAGAGATATTTTGCCGTCGGCTTAAAAAATAAATCAGTCTACACTTTTGTGAACATTTTTAACAGAAGTGTTGTAAATCAAATCTATAGTATTGTTAATCAAATCAAATACTAGTACATTTGTACTGGTTAAATATTATGACTTTAAAAGGAAAAAGCAAACACGTTAACACTTAAGTTTGTATAGATGATCCAAATGTAGTAATCCTATATAGCAAAGTGGAGAACCTGCGTTTCTATACATAAATACGATATTATTTGTTGTAAAGTGTGAAGCTTATATAAAGTAGATCTCAGATAGCATTACAAACATAATAATCCCATACATACACGCTGTATAAGATGACACGGTGGATAATATTGAAACATGTATGTAAATTAAATCTATACATGGAGTCCGGACTGAAATACTTTTCTGCGTCACTGAAATCACTTAACTGAATCCACAAAAACAACATTTTCAACTTCTTTTGAATAGGTCCGTATATATAGAATTTTCTTTTGTTTTTATAATTTTGTACAATTTTGTATATTCTACAAGACTTATAGTGCTATCTTGTATTTAAAAATAAGGTCTCATTTGTTACCGTACTTGTAAAACGTATTGTAACCTTTGGTTTATTTAATAATGCCAACATTAACTTATTAAAAACTTTGGCTGAAGATTTATGATCAATGCAGTTGTTAATATTTAACATTCATGCGGCTGATATCAAGTTTATATATGTCACAAGAAGCTGCTGAAGCTTTTGTAACCAGAAACGATCTATATCTGACACGCTGCATGTTAGCTATTCAAAACATTAAAATCGATTTCTTTTAATTATAATTTATATTGTATCTATTTTGTAATCTTTGCATCCTAATGTTAGTCGATATTTCTTTTGAATAAGTTGCGTATCAAAACATCAATAATTACGTCAGCAGGTTGGTTATGTGCTGGAAACAGTTCTTTGACCGGAGTATATTAAAATGTTACAAAATATGAACAAATAAAAATCTGCAAAGCAACAACTCACATGCATATTTGATAAATGATCTCTGGATTCGAACATGCGTTTCAGGTATCCTCCCCCCTCCTCTCCGATTTAAGTTGTACTATATTTACGTAATATCCCCTCTCAAAGCGAACTATTTTGATTTGATAAAAAAAAAACGTTTTCTCATTTCAGATTGGCTGTGGAAACGGGAATAGCTCTAACTGTCCAAAACTTCATTTGCGCATGGCAACCACTTCCGGTATAGGTGACACAATGTTCATCTTCGATCTGTTCCAGAGTGGTTTGATATTTTCAGCATTGATCGCTGGCCTGCTCAGCATTTGTCACGTGATCTATTGTCGTGCTATAATCTGTCGTAATTCGTCATTAGTGCTGGTACTCATTTTTACTGGTTTCTGTCATATGATGGTATGTGTATATTTACTGCAGGTGTCAGAGCATTCGGCAATGCTGGAGGTGCCTCGAGGAGGTCATCAAAACTGTACAGATTATTACCTCCCAGCAACATTAGCAAACACTATTAGTTTAACAGCCATTTTACATAATTTGATTAGATTGAACATAAAATCAACAATTTCAGCTGCTCTAGTTTGGACGGTGTCAGTCGGGAGTATCATTTCTGGACTTTTATGTATAATGCGGTTACATGAGTTTTTTCCACCCATAATGCAACAGGATACATTTGTTACTATTGGGAGCACTAATGAAACCCATCTTGATATATTTTGGTCAGTTTGCAAGAAAGAGGTCAGTGTTGAAAAAGTGAGGATGTTCGCAGAATACGGACTAATATATGCACCTGTTGTCATCGTCGTCATCTTTGCATGGTATAAATCGTATAAAAGGAATAAAGGTATATTTATGAGAATTTTATACATTTTGAACATATTCAAATAAGTACTTTATTCGCATATTTTCGATTTAGCTTTAAATTTCATAAAATAAGGGAAATCAAATTTGCTATGCCAGACACATATCATATGATAAGTTAAGTTGAAGACAATAACACTGTGAATCCTCTTTACCGTGACTGAACGTGTTTCACGTGAAGAATGTGGCGATTACCCAATCTATGAATAAAAAATAAAACGTTAAGATAAAACAGATGTTTTAAAACATTGAAATGTTGTTTTTTGTCTCAATAGCTTTATGTAATGCAATAGTTTACAAAATATTGTAAGATTTATATATATTGTTTGATTTTATATATCATTTTAGATTTATCATTGCTGAAGATACGAATAAGTGATACAACGGACTGTCAAGACTGTGCACATTTCTGTGCTTGCTCAAAACTCGGCCCGTCATTCGTCGCCATTTTGGCGTATTCTGCTGTGATACTTTTCATTGCTCGTCCGGCTATGATTATATATGCGCACGCAACTACGGGCTACTTCCGGGACATCCTGCCAAGTCTTCTACATACGGTGATGTACTGCTTCATATGCTCCGAATATCTCTCAAAGGCATTTAAATTACAAACAAGAATTACAATAGCCGGTACTAATAACTGCAGTAAGAAAAGTATTCTTCACGTTTGAAGTGAAAAAGTGGTATGCTGAGTATTCTTTACTGAAATCCATTGTAAATAGATAAACAGTACAATGTATAATGTATGTGCAATATAGCTATATATTAAATACGACCATGGATATGATGAAAACGATTCTGTTGTTACAACACCAGGAGATTGATACTGTTCGTTACCATGAAAACACAACATCAATACGGACATTGTACAATGTATAAAATGTTCTTTTTTCCGTCCTCAAAGTCCTCAAATGCCGACAGTTGGTATTTAACATTTCTAGAGAATAAGCATTGTAAGGTCCTGGGAAATCCATGTATACATTTACAATACATGTTCAATTAAAAGATATAGTAGATTTATTATTGTTGTCATTATAGATTACATAATACTGCATGTGCTTGGTCATGCGTGACCATTATTTTCTGATGTCAAAATAAAAATTATTCTACCAATTATTTTCTGTATTTCTTTACAGATAAAGGCCTAAATTATTGTATCATTGTATACTTATTTCATACTTTTCTTTGCCTTTTTTTAAAACTATATTTGAATTAAATCCTTTTGAATCATCAATAAAGCTGCATGCCTACAGATTAACCAAACTATAATATATTGCAAGAAAAATAACAGTGATATATAAATGAACTAAGATTTTTAGAAAAGTAAAAACATATACACTTCAATTTTTTTATCTCGACTTTTCGCAGAATAATACTGAAGGTAACGGATTGAAACTTCATACACTTGTTCGCTGTGATTATCTAAGATGATTGACACAAGTCACATAACTCTGATTTGCTTTTTTACATAATTATGCCCCTTTTTCGACTTAGAAATTCTTGGTTAAGTTTTTGCGTGTAAGCTGGTATCTCCATAACTACTGAAGGGATTGAATTGAAACTTCACACACTTGTTCTCTGTGCTTATCTAAGATGATTGGCACAAGTCTCATAACTCTGTTTGCTTTTTTACATAATTATGCCCCTTTTTCGACTAAGAAATTCTTGGTTAAGTTTGTGTGTGTAAGCTTGTATCTCCATAACTACTGAAGAGAATGTATTGAAACTTGAAGGGTTTGTACCTTTTCGGACAATTTTATGTATTCATATAGGTAAGCATTATTATACTCAATGTAACACCCTTGTGACAAATTTTCGAATAGTCGAGCGTTACTGTCCTCCGACAGTTCTAGTTATATGAAATATGCAATAAATAACTGTCTGCAGTATTTAGCACCATATTGTATCATAGTGTGGGGACATTTCTGTTGAAAATGTGTCGGAGTTAAATCGTATACATATACATGTTAACTGGAGTGCAGGTATTAGTTACCCGCACTCCAGAGCATGTCCATTGGTTTAAACATATTTATTTTTTCATCAAGTTACAATATTTACATCAAACACAACATTTATACAAAATCATGATAAAGTGGATTGAACTGGAAGCTCAAAGCTTATTGTAATTCTCTCCACTTCTAGCTATACATCGGTACATATTTTGGCGATACAGTTGATTTAATAAATTGTTACATCCAAGATAAAATATATTAACATTATTATTATTTGAAAAAATAAGACAAAATTAGAACAAAACAATCGAAAAAAAATCGAAAGAAAAACATAAAGAAATGTAAAGAAGTTTAAATTAGGAGTGAAATTCGAGTAAAGAAGAAAATATGAGAAAATTTAAAGATATAAGGAAGTGTGAAGCATGTCCATTGATTTGCTCATTTTTTCTTCTGGGGTTTACTTATTGAGCGCAAGAGAAAGGGACAGCGACAATAATATCATATTCAGATGTTCGTTAATTGGTTACTATTTCCCGGGGTTTCATATTGTGACATGATAATCATACAAAAGAGAAAGAACATCAAAACACTCGGCAATCTGATTAATACTCGGGGGCTACACTCCCTCGTACAAATCAGATAGCCTCGTGTTTTGATGCTCTTTCTATTACTTGTAATGCATTCATGACTCACACAGTAAAGGGTATCTGTGTGAATATTCTGACCTTATTTTGTTAATTTTCGTGCCGTTTGTAATGTGTTAATTACTTTCTTTGTTCACTTGACCATATTTTATTTTTAATTCTGTTTTAAAAAATGAATGAGTCTGAAGGCATACTGCTTTAATGTTTCAAATCAGCATTACGCTTTTCATATCCTCTGTACATATGTTGCCTCCCGAATGGGTCTTTGGATTCTTTCATGTGAGGAAGCTATCCAGCTAGCTTACGGGACGTCGGTGGTTCTACTCAGGTGCCTGTTCGTGCCTGAATAATGCACAGAGGGGCACCTGAGGTCTTCCTCCACCAGTAAAGCTGGAACGTCGCGATATGACCTATACTGTGTCGATGTGACGTTAAACCCAAAAACAAACACACATATGTTGCCACAAATTTAATGTAAATATTGATCAGTACATACTTCAACAATATCAAAAATGCCTTACATTGTTATTCAAAGTTTATATTTTCTTTAACATTTTAAGAGGACAAAGTTTGCGCAAACCTTGCATTGACAAACAGAAAGTAAATGTTTACCAAAGCTAAATTGGTGAATAACCGACCAGAGCTGAAAACAGCTCTTCATTTGTTTTGTTATTGATTAAATTATTTTCCTTGCCTTTCAATAAAACTAGTGTTTTGAAAGAATAACTTCCACTGTTTTATTTAAAGTAAAACATCATTGGTTTATTCATCACGGCATGACCGAAGCTAATAGATTGAACCAGGAAATTTTTTTATTAATATTGCTTGTAATAGCATGTTAAATGCAGTATTTATCCATCCAGTGTGTCCTTGGCTACCAAATAGATCATTGCAGTTTTTATCAAACCAGCCGACAATACGGTTACAAATAGATCATTGTAGTTTTTATCAGTTCAGCCTGTCCTAGGCTAACAAATAGGCTCTTGAAGTATTTGTCAAATCAGACTGTCCCAAGCTTACAAATAGATCATTGTAGTATTTATCAAACCAGCCTGTCCTAAGTTAAAATATAGATCATTGAAACATTCATACAGTCAGTATACCCTGAGTTAACAAATAAATCATTGCAGCATTTATCTAACAATCAAATCAGTTTGTCCTGAAAATGTGCAGCATTTTTTAGGCAGTCTGTCCTATATAACAAAATATATATAACAAAGATAACAAAAAATATGGCATTAATTGTCAACCATTATGTCCTAGGCTAAAAATACACCATTGCAAAATTTATCAAGCCAGCCTGTCCTAAGCTAACAAGGATCATTTCAGCATTCATTAAACCATTATGTTCTCGGTTAACAAACAGATCACTGCGGCATTTATGAAACCATACTGTCCTATGACAACAAAACGATCATTACAGTATTCATAAAACCAGTTTGTCCTAGGCTAACAAATACTGTGCTGTAATCAATGTCCCGACGGACCAGACAATATAACAACTTTAAAGTGAAGTATTGGGAAACTGTCCTAGGCTAACAAATAGGTCATTGCAGTATTTTTAAAACCAGCCTGTCCTAGGCTAACACATAAATCATTGCAGTTTCTTCAAAGCCTGACCTAAGGTAACATATAAATTGTCCGTCCGTCCGTTCTAATTTTGTGTCGCAAGTAGCTCAAAAAGTTTTTGACCTAGAGTCATGGAACTTTACAGGTAAGTTGCTATGTATGTGCAGTCGTGCGCCTTGGTATTTTCGTGTTTTTTTAGTATTTGTAGAGTTATTGCCCTTGACTTAATAAAAAATTGCAATTTTCAACTTGTGTCGCATGTAGCTCAAAAGTATTTGACCTAGAGTCATGGAACTTTACAGGTATGTTGCTCTGCATGTGTAGTTGTGCATCTGGATATTTTCGTGTGGATCTTTTTAGTATTTGTAGAGTTATTGCCCTTGACTTTGTAAATATTTGCAATTTTCAACTTGTGTCGAACATAGCTCAAAAGTGTTTGACCTAGGGAAATGAAACTTTATAGGAATGTTGATAAGCGTGTGTAGTTGTGCACCTGGATATTTGTTAGAGTTGATTTATTTAGTTTTTGTAGAGTAATTGCCCTTAACTTAGTAAAAAGATTCAATTTTCAACTTGTATCGCATGTAGCTAAAAAAGTATTTGACCTAGAGTCATGAAACGTTACAGGAATGTTGATCAGCATGTGTAGTTGTGCAACTGGGTATGTTCGTGTGGTTTTATATAGTATTTGTATAGTTATTGCCCTTTATTTCCTCTAAGGGTTTCGCTTTTTGGTTTATCTAGAGTAATTTCCCTTGATTAAGTAAAAACCAAGAAAATTTTGGACTTGTGAGAGGCTACAAATGACCCCAGGTCGATCATAAGTTAACTTGTAACCAAAGCTGAAAAGCCATTGACTCTATCTCAATACCTTGAGAAGTTGCAGCACTTTGAAATAAATTTTGATGGAAAAAATCGAGGCAAAATAGTGATTTTTGGCAATTTTGAGATGTCCCTCGTTGCCATGGTAACAGGAAATATAAGACTAAGTATGTCGTTACAAAGGCAATGGTCCAGTCAACATTTGTGCCAAGTCTGATTAGTATTGAAGCATTTTTCATATTTTCATAGCAGTTTGAACTTGTAACAGGTTTTTTAGTGAAAACGGCCATTTTTCACAATTATGCTCATGAGGGAAATGGTTAACTTATAAATAAAAGATTGTTAGTTTACAACTTGTGGCGCATATAGCCCAAAAATATTTGACCTATAGTCAAAAGATTGACAAAACAGCCGAGTGCGGGGGTACCCATGTCCTATGAACACATTTCTTGTTTGAATTTAAATCATTCAAAAATAAATATTTTATCTTAATAAGTACTGTTTTCTTACCGTTTATATAACGTTATTAACCAGGTTTTCAACGAAAACTGGGTTATTGTAATGCCGAAGTCGGTGGGCGGACAGGCAGACGTCAACTTTTGGTTTTCACTCAATAACTTTAGTTTGCTTTGGCCTATTGACACCAAACTTGAATGGATAGCTTATATCAAGAGGAAGCTTGGGGTTGCTACCCAGGTGTCTGTGATCAAGGTCAAGGTCACTGTTACTAAAAAAAGAAATCAGTTTCCGCTCAATAACTCGAGTTTTCTTTGACCTATTGACACCAAACTTGGTGTATGGATAGCTTATATCAAGAGGCAGCTTGGGATTGCTACCCAGGTGTCTGTGATCAAGGTCAAGGTCACTGTTACTAAAAATAGAAATTCAGTTTCCGCCCAATAACTTGAGTTTGCTTTGGCCTATTGACACCAAACTTGGTGTATGGATAGCTTATATCAAGAGGCAGCTTGGGATTGCTACCTAGGTGTCTGTGATCAAGGTCAAGGTCACTGTTACTAAAAATAGAAATTCAGTTTCCGCTCAGTTTCCGCTAAATAACTTGAGTTTGCTTTGGCCTTTTGACACCAAACTTGATGAATGGGTAGCTTATATAAAGAGGCAGCTTGGGATTGCTACCCAGGTGTCTGTGATCAAGGTTAATGTATTTAATTTTCATGTTATAACTTGAGTTTGCTTTGACCTTTTGACAATAAACTTGCTGAGTGGCAGCTTTGGATTGCTACTTAGATATCTGGGAGCAAGTTCAAGGTCATTTGCTTACAATAGAATTTTCAGCTTCTACTTATTAACTTCAGTGTACTTTGACCTATTGATTGCTGTCCCATCAAAATTTGGTCGTTGAAAACCTGGTTTTGGTCGCATTGCGGCGCTTCTTGTATTTAAACCATTAGAACCTTAACACAATAAATCACGAAATTACATTTATTTCGAATATCTTACCCTAATATTAATCTCGATACCCAACAATCCATGTACGTTGTTATTATTGTTACTTGTTTGATAAAACAACTCTGTTGTAGAGAATTGTGTTGTATTTTAAAATATAAATAAATATACCAAACAAAGTCAAATAAAATATTTTTTCTGATAAACGCTATACGCTTTACCATTTTCAAGGATTTATTAGTTTCCTTTCACGTGCTATAATTCTATAACTGCTACATTTATAATACGTATGTATGAGGAGAAAACTTGTATAACCAGGAAACCCAAGCTCGTGTTAAGTTGTCTCCCTTTCATAATTGGTTAACGCTTCGGACTAGTAAACTAATGATCGTTAGTCACTTACAAGGGCAAGTCGTTGTTTCCTTGAGCAGGAAACTTTTCACTCATTGCTCAGAACTGGTTGGTTCCAGGAGCAGATTCGAAAGTGCGTTTATAAGCTTATAGATTCCTGCACAATCGAACAAAAATAAATTCTTTATAAACCAAGAATCATTTACGGAAAATGATGGCCTGTAAGTAGACGTTTAAAGTGTTAATATATGTCTCACCGAGCAGTGACTTTCTGTATTTGCGACACGAGCATCTAAGAAGGCGATTACTGTATGTCAAAGTTAACTAACACATACAATCATTTTCATAGTTTGTGATATTTTTTTTTCTGTTTAACAATGTATAACGTTTTCCATAAAATACGAGTCTATAACGATTCAAACGGTAGGTATCTAAATATATAAAAGGTACGGAATTCGTCCTCCGAGATGTTATTCATAATAAAGCTGTGAGTTTCAGAGACTAAAAAAATGTCAAAATACAAAGTATGTACACTATTTAGTGTTTAGAAACATAATTACTGTATTAATGTTGTGTTACAAACACCTTTACTTCCGATCCCTGTGTCTATATATTTCATAACGTACCAACGAACGTCGGCGTTTCTACTTAAGTGCCCGCTTGTGCCTGAAATAAGTACTAGTAATAGAAAGAGCACCGAAACACGAGGCTATCTGATTTGTACGAGGGGGCGTAGCCCCCGAGTATAAATCAGATTGCCGAGTGTTTTGGTGTTCTTTCTCTTTTGTTTCATAGTCAAACATAAAAACACGTTCCCTGCTGTCACAAAATGAAACCCCGGGAAAAAGTAACCAATGAATGAGTGTTTTTAGTTTTATTTATACTGGGCGCCGGTTTCCCATATGTCCCAGACTAGTCGGCCTCTATTACGATTGCTGGTAACGTAGAGCCTGCAACGGAGGACTTATTCGCCTGCAACGTCGTCGATGTCGTAGAGCCGCGACGGAGGTCTTTTCAAGCTGTCGATCGTCGTAGACCTTCTCTAGAACCAGATTCTTCGCTCGTTGAACAAATGACAATAGGAGGAAAGGCACCTCTTCCGGGAGCAGCAGCTCTCTTTAGGGCCACACCCTTCGTCGTTGGTTAGGTCACACCAGCTAAGTGACCTAACTAGGTCACCCATCTGGTGTGACCTATGCCTTCCGAGCGACGTGCACGCCACGAAGGGAAGTCGGAAGTATCTGAATATGATATTTCTGTCGCTTTCCCTTTCTCTTCCGTCACAATATGTAAACCCCAGCAAAAATGAACCAATCAATGGGCACGCTCTGGAGTGCGGGTAACTAATACCTGCACTCCAGTTAACGCACTGTACATGTATATGTATACGATTTAACTCTGACACTTTTTTTCAACAGAAAAGTCCCCAAACTATGATACAATGCACGTTTATTATGCATAAGTCGCCATACGACCTATACTGTATAAGTGCGGCGTTACATCCCCTCATTCTCACACCCCCTAAAAAGTATCAACGAAGTATATGTGTTTTATAGACAGTGATATTTTATAATGTTGTATGCTTATTTTATTAAGAAACAAACAAACAAACAAACAAACAAACTAACAATTACATGGAGACAAATATAGGTGATTACTATTCAATTATAAATTTATCTTGAAACTGTACATTTGTGATTTTAAATTGATTTACCAGTCTTGTACCTTAAAATGTGGCCAAGGTGGTCTTAACTGGGTAAATCAGCATTATATAGGGTCTTACATCATTTGTACATATAGTTTTAACTGAATAATCGTTTTAATACAATAAAAATTCTTGTTGAGTTGTAGTTTATTATTTCTATTCTGATTCCAATACTCTAAATTGATCGTTTTAACATTTTACATCAAATGCTCGGGGAGGGGAAATGTACATCATCGATATAGATTTGCATTTGAATTTATACATTTTAAATGTGCGTTCATTCGTCATGAACTTATGTCATCTGCCATTTATCACTTCAATTAGCTATAGTGATTCGACACGAACTGTCTATCTGTTCCAATGGTATCAAACAAGCGTTAAATTTTATATATCTGTTTACCGACAAGGCCATTTCCGGACGACCGCATACAGTTTCAATATGTCATTCAGCTTGCGGGAGTGTTGTAAATATACCACCAGTGACAATGTTTTCAAAATTAACAGTTTAAACATATTAAATTGATTGTTCAAACAATAAAGTACTTTCAAACTATCGATATAAAAATAACATTGCCATTAAAAACTTAAATAAAAACTTGAAGTTGTATTCTATTTTTATTTTTATCTCGAAGTCTCTCTAGATTTCTTTTTTGTTCAAGTTTCAAGTTAACCCACGCTATTGCTGTCAGAAGGCAGTTTTCAATTTTTGCTTTATTTTGTTCTTTACAGTTATGGTTTGATATAAAAACCACATAATTGAGCCGTGTCATGACAAAACCAACATAATGGGTTTGCGACCAGCATGGATCCAGACCAGCCTGCGCATCCGCGCAGTCTGATCAGGATCCATGCTGTTCGCTTACCAACCGTATTACAAGTAGAGAAACTGATAGCGAACAGCATGGATCCTGATCAGACTGCGCGGATGCGCAGGCTGGTCTGGATCCATGCTGGTCGCAAACCCATTATGTTGGTTTTGTCATGACACGGCTCATATATTTAACAAGAATGGATGTAGAATGATATTGTCATAACAAACACCTGTGTAACAAGCTAAAAAAACAGTGGTTTCTTTTCGATAGAGACATCTATCATAAATGCCGCTTTTGCGAATCCGTAAATATGGTAATGCACGGTCGTGCATATATTTTGACGTGACGTCATTTGCGTTAGATAAACATAGCGTCTCGACGCGCTAAATGTACGTATTAGCGTTATGATTTAGAGGATATATGTTATAAAGGTATATTTCACGAGTGGCGCAGCCACGAGTGAAATATGAACTTTTGGTGTTCACGAGGCGAAATATATTTCAATCTTACACTTAACTAAACAAATTTTCTTTTTATTACATGCAAAGAAACGTTTAAAAAGACTTTTTAAACCTAGTACTAAATGAAAAGCGCGCCAAATACTAATACAACGTGTCATTTATGACGTCACGTCATTAAGCTGGTTTCCTGTACTGTGCACGCTGTTATTTCACTAAAACAACGTAACGGGTTTAAATTCAAAACAGTGAAATTATCAAATTGGTAATTTCACTGTTTAAAACAGTGAAATTACCAGTTTTTATTTCACTGATATATTTCTATAAACCACCGAAAAGCATGTAATAAAAAGGCGCATCAATGAAATTTCGTTCTTTTTCACTTCAAACGATCTTTATTTTTTGTATGTGATAAAATGAATATTACATTCGTGTAAGCTCATTACTGAATTGATTGAACTCGTTGAATAAATTTATAAAATATTATTCAAGTCGTTTTTAAACTTACACTTATATAATATCCTCTATTTAATTATTATAACGATTTATTTGATTGTTTGTATGGATACATAGACTGTCTATTTGTCATAACTCGCATGATAGGAAGCGGAGGCTACCCCCCCCCCCCCACTCCTTCCTTCCGTAAAAGAGCTTCAAAGTTTGCCTCCTGTAAATTAACTACTTTCTGTAACGAGTATACATATATTACCTTTTGAATATTTCCCCAAGATTCTCCTTCCCCTCTCCTCCTGATTCCCTTTCTCCCCATCATCATCATCATCATCATAATCATTATCACCATCATCATCATCATCATCATCATCATCATCATCATCATCATCATCATCACAACATCATCATCATCATCACAACATCAGCAACAACAATTTTTTCACAAACACCACTTTCAATACAAGATGTAAGAAGTTCTTTCAACTGCCCAACTTGATATTCAAAGGATAAAAAAAATGTAAAATACCAATCTAATCCTTTGAGACCTGAAAGTAATTTAAATCAAACGTAAAAACCATTGCCCATTTATTTAATAATTCAGCTTCAAAAGCAATTGATATATAATGAAGCTGAATTATTGGAGTGAACAAGAAAGAAGATGATACATCAAAAAGCGCCGCTAATTTCTAATTATCGCGCTCGCCGGACCACGACAGTGCGCATACATATTGATTATTGTTAAAATATAATAAAGATATGATTGGCGGGGGAAATTGTCATCGATCGCGTTAAAAGCCGTAGCAATCCGTATAGGAAACGTGCGGTGACTTCTGGGGGATTTCAGTGCTTTGTAAAATGTTTTATCTATACACAGACACACACAACGTTTTCAATTTAAGAAAGAAAGACGCTGGATTTTAGTCTCATTGCCTTGGTTATAATAAAGATAAAAAATAATTGAACGTAACTTATTTTACACTGGGGATGAAATCAGAATCGGGCATCATTTAATTAGAAGTTAAAAAAAAAAGTTTTAAAAAAAATGCAGTGAGATGAGTTGCCAAAAAATTCTGTAAAAATACAACGGATTTCATATTAATTCAGCAGGCAATTTATTTAGGCAGCAATTATGGAAAGTAACAAGGATTTCGAGGCTTACGCTACAAGTCTGTTTGGTAAGGATTACCATGATAAAACGGGCAAGAAAGGCAAACCCGCTCCATGGTTAGAGAAACCAGGTTATCACCCGGAGCCATTCGATGTTGTTGTTGTAGACAGAAATGAAAACGTCATCAAAGGAAAAGAGAAAGACAAACCACATAAAACAGGAATCGGTAAAAAAATAAGTGTAAAGAAAAAAACACAAAGTAAGGATGGACGCTTAACACCCGTATTTATAGACATGAATGATTCCCCTATCCCGGAAGACAAGACAAAGGGTGCGTTCAATAAAAGACGAAAGTCGGATCATAAAGAAAAGAGTAACGAGATAAATAAAGACAAGAAAAATAAACCTAAATTTGAACAGTTACGATTCGAAGGTGATGATTCAGGAATAAGTCTGAATGAAGACGGTGATGATAATGTTTTCCGGGAACATTTACCAAACAGACACGATGATTCTGGCAGTGAAAGTGATTTGGCTTACTTTTGTGTTGATCATATGAAAATGTGTAACTCTAAAGCTGAGTTCCGGAAACACCGCCGCTGTAATTTAGACGTCAAGTCCGGGGCGAGCACCCCAGCAACATCACGGACATCTCAGGAACGAGAAAAGAGTCGAACGACGCGGTTTCAGTCTTCCGAGGGACGGAGAACGTCATCAGTGTCACTATTTAGCCGCGGATCTAATACAGGTATAGTTAAAGATAATACAATTATACAAACAATTTTGTTTTCAGTAATTTCAATTAAAGAAAGTCTTAAAGATTACTTTACGTGTATTTTACTTACATTGTTAATTAAAACGTTCATTTTACTAGTGTTTTATTTTTGAAAGTCGCTTAATTTACCCTCTAATTGATTAAGTCACATATTTTGAATTTTTAGGGTAATTTTGCAAATGAATAATATATTCGGGATCTAGTAAAACATAGACAACTGCTATCGTCTCAGGTTAGGGGCGTTTTGGTGCTATTCACTACGCCCTCTCCGTGCGCACACTAAAGTAACAACAAACTCTAGTATGTGATGAAAGGCTTGTTCTTTCCCTATTTCATCCGCCATATAAAGAAATACTCGATTAAACATCTAAATTAATTCAGTGTCTAAAACTGACTATAAAAATGTGTTTTCACGTACATCATATATTTACCGGTATACAATTGTAATTAACTAACATATAAACACCTATGTTGTTGATGAAAAATTAAACTAAATGAGCCGTGTCACGACAAAACCAACATAGTGGGTTTTATGACCAGCATGGATCCAGACCATCCTGCGCATCCGCGCAGTCTGATCAGGATCCATGCTGTTCGCTTACCAACTCTATTACAAGTGGAGAAACTGATAGCAAACAGCATGGATCCTGATCAGACTGTGTGGATGCGCAGGCTGGTCTGGATCCATGCTGGTCATAAAACCCACTATGTTGGTTTTGTCATGACGCGGCTCAAATATCTTCATATTGTTTTAGATCTAATCTTACCCTTTTTTTTCTTGAATTATGCCAAACTCTTTTGACCTCTAATTGTTTATCCCTTTATCAAATACATCAACTTATTTATTTTATTATACTGAGTGAGTTAGTGATGGCCTAGTTCAGCTGCCACCACTGGCAACTACTTTAAATTCCTTGATAGTGAGTCTTTACATATATCAGCAAAACAAATAACTTATTTTAACAACACTTTTGAGGAAATACATGTATATGATAAAAAAATATTTTAAGTTAGTATAACCTGTTTAAGTGGGTGAATCAAATTTAAGACATGTAACGTAAACATAAAAGATAAAGATTCTTAATTAAATTTGATAGATTTGTTTTATGGTTGAAAACTTGACATTTCACGTTTTGTAGGTAACTATGTGTTCAATAATATCATGAAAGATTTATTTGTACACAACTGACTGCATCCCATTAATATTTTCAATAAATTTCTGACATGTTTTATTCACATTATTGAAAGCATTATTAAAAGTTTTTTGTCAGAATCAATTATCATTTATTGACACACGGGACATTTTCATAGAATTATTTCATATTTAAGATGTCAGTTTCTAAATGCATGATGTAAATATTTAAAAACATAATATGATATATGTCAAATATTTATCAACTTTTCTTCCAACATGTACATGTTTCTTGAAATGTACAAAGCAATATGTGCTGTATATATATATATAATTGTGATATATATAATTATGCTACATGTATTGTACAAAAGTATTGTGTGAATTTTGAGAAAAGAGAATAATTCCAAATATTTGTAGGCAAGAAATGTCTTTGTATATTTCCTTATGGGCGAATCATTACAAAAAGTAGCATAACATTTTATTGTTAGTGTGACTGTTACTATATTCGTGCGTGTAAAATAAGTGACATAAACATGTATGTATATTTTATGTTACTTTTCTTTCGGGGGCTCAACCATAACATTAAATTGGAAATAACAAAAATGAGGCGTTCAACCAAGGATTATGTTACATGTAGTTTGGAGCAGTTTTGTCCACCTATCTACGGTATTTGAGCCGCGTCACGACAAAACCAACATAAAGGGTTTGCGACCAGCATGGATCCAGACCAGCCTGCGCATCCGCGCAGTCTGATCAGGATCCATGCTGTTAGCTATCAGTTTCTCTACTTGTTATAGGGTTTGTAAGCGTTTGTAGTCTGGATCCATGCTGGTCGCAAACCCATTATGTTGGTTTTGTCATGACGCGGCTCAAATCCAGTTTACGGAGTACCATAAATAATGTGTCATTTGATAGATATAGATTTTCTGTTTAAAGTAGCGAAACTTACTGGAATTATTATTTTACGCTAAACTGACGTGACAGGAAGTTAATTTCCGGAAGTTTCATTTTAAACGAGCGTTCGCATTAACGCTCGTAACTCACGTCTGGTTTTACAATCATATTCTGTGAACATAATTGTGTCATTGTTTAATGAATGTTTTATATTTAGCACCAGATGTAAATTTATTTTTCTCATTGCAGGATAAATTAACTTAACTTTTCTGTATAATTTTATATTGTTATTTTAAAATTAATTGCTACAAAAGTTAAAGTTGCCATAAAATTATTGCTATGAAAAAGTTATAGTATAGCGACAAGACTGTTATGTGGAAATATCATGTCCTGGTGCGACATCGAAGGTCTTTCTCTACAGAAAATGATCGAGGCCATAGAACCCGAGAATTTATTTTCATTTATAACAGTCCAGTTCGATATACTTTAACTACTTTTTATCGCATGATAAATAGAAAATAAGAATTTTGATTAGACATGAAATTTTCATATACGAGTATATTTTTTCTTCCCCTTATAAATCAAATTCCCCACTCCTTTCCTCGGTTACTTTTTATGGTACATGTAAATGACATTAAGGAAAACGGTCTATCCCCAGTACCACATTACCTATCCCAAATCGTAAATATATTCGTTTTTTTCAAGTCTGAGTTTTGATATACATTGTTTAGTCCAGTTTGTTGTATTGTTTACGGTCACAGTTATTCATGAACCAAGTGAACACGTGCTTTATTCTAAATGATGCACACTTCGTTTCTAAAAATGTGCGTTATATGAGATATAGCACTGTGCGTTATTAGTTATTACAAATAAAGCATGTTATTGGGTATAAGAGAGACAAATCGCCGCATCACGTGATAATATGGTATTATAGAAATCTGATCAAAATAAATTCATTAATCTGACCATTGTATGATACTTGTACATCATCAAAACAGATATAGGAAAATATATCATTCATCATTCAATTTATATGATGGTTATTTTAAACAGGCAGAAGTTCGGTGGCGTTTGCCGGAATGCAGACGATGTATCTGCAGACGCTAAGAAAGCTGTATAAATATTCCGGGGTGATAATTGGGGACAGATTAAGTCTAAAGGATGAATTGCGAAACCAGAAGATTATGGTACAGGAGCAAATGTTAGAATATATGGAGGAATTAATTGCACATATCTTAAAAGTAAGTTGACATTAAAATAGACGGTGACACATTATTTTGTTAAAATTAAAACATCGTGTCATTTGTTGCTTCTTTGATAATGATATTATAATAAAGTTCATATTTTCCAAACATTTCATATCAATTCCGCTTTGTTGTAAACGCTTATGTGTTCCTCATAAAACAGAAACGTTCGTCTACTGCCTCATGTTAAAATGTATATATTGAGATCCCTATCATTAGGACAACAAAATTTCAAAATCAAACTTAAACGCGACCATTGTACCAATTTATTGGTGTAAAACTATAACTAAGTATTTATTTATTAGTTTATTAAAGTCTCATCAATGTACACAGTTAAAATACTTATAAAATACAATACAAATGCACATTGCCAATCTATAAGATTTACAAGAGACTAAAGGTTGACTTACTATTTACATGTAAAATTCTAAAAATCTAAAATACCCTTGCTAATTTAAACCCGAGTTGTGAACATAATTATGATAAAATGAACCTACTGAAGTAAATTAAAATACTGGGGTAGCAAAGTACCTCAAATATTCTATATAGAAATTAATATTGTGGTTAAATTTAACCAAAATCCGGTTTAGAAGATTACTAGCAAAGGTATTTTCTAGATAGTACATGTATATCTAAGAACACATAAAAGTTATTTAAAATAATGTCAGTTGTATAAAATTAGTTTTCTTCCATTCAATATATTAAAACAGGTAAGTATTAAGTATTTTATAACTGCGTCTCTATTTAAAGTATGCAAAGCTATATATCAGCTAAAAATTATTGTTTGGAATTTTAACAAGAATACCTCCTAAATACCTTTATAATATAAATATGATTGTTTAGTTCCTAAAATAAGAATTGCGCATAATCAAAAATCATCGATAAATGGTACTAAAATGGTAAGAAACAGCAAAAAAAAAAAACAACACAAAAAAACCCCACAACCCCCCCCCCCCAAAAAAAAACAACAAAAAACAAAAAAAAAAAAAAAAAAAAAAAAAACAAACACACACAGACACACAAAATTACTACAAATTGCAGCATAATATTTTGTTCCGCAACATTTTATTCTACTTATTGTGCAATATTTATGTGTGTTAACTAGCGGAGACATTCTATGTTACAACTGTTTCAGAAATTGGACAATATTATTATGGAAACAGTATAGCTTTACTGCTCATATATTGTTTAATGTAAACTACATTAATTTTCTAATCCGGCTCTTTAAATAAAAAGTTATCTATTGTAGAATTATGGTAACATATATATAGACAATGAATGACAATGTCAATGAGGTTTGTCAACTCTATGAAAGGATCAAAACTAGTTTTGAAACTTTAGCCTGGATCAAACATATAAACTATGATCAAATGCTAATTAAACACATCCCTCCCGGCGTGTCTCAGTTCTCTGTGGGCCGCTATATTAACATTGTTTATTCTTGAACAAACACTTTCCCTGACATAAATAAATATAGCCTGCTGCTCTATTTAATAATGCAAATATTATATCATACATCTAAACAAATAATTTTTCTAAGATGTCAAATTTATATGTTATACAGTTTGTAAGCATTGCAAGTATCTCTCAGTATTTGTAAGTTTAAATTTGTACCGAAGATCTTCACCAATATTTGAAAAATATTTCTGGACACACAGATGACGTCACTTGATTCCAATGCTTATCGATACTTATTCATGCTCATTTATTCTTTTTAACGCTTATTCATTCTTACAGACTCAAAGACTTTTGGGTGTGGAGCTCAAAATGCGTTAAAATAAAAAAAATTATATTTGTCAATCCCAGCACATATGCTTGTCATATGTATCAAAAGAACCTAATTTAAGCTGTTTTAAATAAAAAATTCATATTCTAACGTCTATAATAATGCACGCATTACAGACGTTGAGATGTTATTTTTTTTCAAAACATTATTTACAAGTTATTTGGATTTTAACGCACCTCAAGTGTCTATGCTCACGCCCATACCGTGTCTCGTGCTTTTTTATGTAAAGTTACTAAAACTGTATAAAATATATGTTCGTGAAGTTGGCAGCCTAGCAGCCTAGCAGTCTAGCAGCCTGAAGTTGGCAGCCTAGCAGCCCAGCAGCCTAGCAGCCTGAAGTTGGCAGCCTAGCAGCCTGGCAGGCTAGCAGCGTAGCAGTCTGGCAGCCTAGCAGCCTGGCGGCCTAGCAGACTAAAGAAAACTAAGAATAGTACAAACATGAAATCGTCGGAAATACATTAGTAGCACTTCTTTAGATCATTCCACGCCTTTTTCAATATCGTGATCTTTATTTAACATAATTTTTTCATTCCGACGCTTCGAAATTTGTGAAGTGAGCAGCCTAGCAGTATAGTACAAACATGAAAACCGTCGGAAATGAATCGGTAGCAAATACTTAGACAATTCCACGTCTTATTTCAGTATCGCGTACTTCATTTTTTAGTTAAATTTAAATATTGAACTTTTTTTTTTTTTTTTTTTTGTTGACACTTCGAAATTTGTAAAGTTAGCAGCCTAGCAGCCTGGCAGCCTAGCAGCCTAAAGAAAACTAAGGATAATACAAACTTGAAAACCGTCGGAAATGAGTCGGTAGCACATACTTAGACCATTCCACGTCTTTTTTTCAATATCACGATCTTTTTTTTTATAAATATTGAACTTTGTTTTTATTTTTTTTTTTACACTTCGAATTTGTGAAGTTAGCAGCTTAGCAGCCTAACAGCCTGGCAGCCTAGCAGCCTAGCAGCCTAAAGAAAACTAAGGGTAATACAAACATGAAAACCGTCGGAAATGAATCGGAAGCATACAATTAGTCCATTCCACGTCTTATTTCAGTATCGCGATCTTTATTTTTTTTAAATATTGAACTTTTTTTTTTGAAACTTCGAAATTTGTGAAGTTAGCAGCCTAGCAGCCTGGCAGCATAGCAGCATAGCAGCCTAAAGAAAACTAAGGGTAATACAAACATGAAAACCGTCGGAAATGAATCGGAAGCACACATTTAGTCCATTCAACGTCTTATTTCAGTATCGCGATCCTGGCAGCCTAACAGCCTAGCAGCAACTATTATCCTTAGTTTTCTTTAGGCTGCTAGGCTGCCAGGCTGCTAGGCTGCCAGGCTGTTAACTTCATAAATTTCGAAGTTTCAAAAAAAAAAAAATAACAAAGTTCAATATTTAAAAAAAATAAAGATCGCTATACTGAAATAAGACGTGGACTAGTCTAAGTATGTGCTACCAATTAATTTTCCACGGTTTTTATGTTTGTATTATCCTTAGTTTTCTTTAGGCTGCTAGGCTGCCAGGCTGCTAGGCTGCCAGGCTGCTAGGCAGCTAGGCTGCTAACTTTACAAATTTCGAAGTGTCAAAAAAAAGTTCAATATTTAAAAAAATAAAGATCGTGATACTGAAATAAGACGTGGAATGGTATAAGTATGTGCTACCAATTCATATCCGACGGTTTTCATGTTTGTATTATCCTTAGTTTTCTTTAGGCTGCTAGGCTGCTAGGCTGCTAACTTCACAAATTTCGAAGTGTCAAAAAAAAAAAACAACAAAAAAAAAAACAAAAAAACAAACAAACAAAAAAAACAAACAAAAAAACAAACAAACAACAAAGTTCAATATTTAAATTTAACTAATTTAATTATTTAAAAAAATGAAGTACGCGATACTGAAATAAGACGTGGAATGGTCTTAGTTTTTGATACCGATTCATTTCCGACGGTTTTCATGTTTGTACTATCCTGCTAGGCTGCTAACTTCACAAATTTCGAAGCGTCAGAATGAAAAAAAATATGTTAAAATAAAGTTCAGCATCTTAAAAAAATAAAGATCACGATATTGAATATGGCGTGGAATGATCTAAAGAAGTGCTACTAATGTATTTCCGACGATTTCATGTTTGTACTATTCTTAGTTTTCTTTAGGCTGTTAGGCTGTCAGGCTGCTAGGCTGCTAGGCTGCCAACTTCAGGCTGCTAGGCTGCTGGGCTGCTAGGTTGCCAACTTCAGGCTGTTAGGCTGCTAGGCTGCCAACTTCACGACCATATAATATATATCATTTAAGAAAATGTTGAATTTTCTTTTTAAAGTTATCTTAACTTGAAAATATAAAAACGTGATATATAATTTTTACAAAGGTTCATGTGTTTCCCATTTTATTCATTATTTTTGAACGATATCCTTTCAGTATTCTTCATGCGGATACAGCCATGCCTATTGCTGTCAAAGGAACGTAAATCTGACCATTGTTGTTGTCATGGCAACACAGTTCTGACCATTGTTGTTGCCATGACAACACAGTCCTACAGTTCTGACCATTGTTGTTGTCATGACCACACAGTTCTGATCATTGTTGTTATCATGGCAACACAGTTCTGACCATTGTTGTTGTCATGGCAATCTGACCATTGTTGTTGTCATGGCAATCTGACCATTGTTGTTGTCATGACAACACAGTTCTGATTATTGTTGTTATCATGGCAACACAGTTCTGACCATTGTTGTTGTCATGGAAACACATTTCTGACCATTGTTGTTGTCATGGCAACATATTACTGACCATAGCTGTTGTCATGGCAATCTGACCATTGTTGTTGTCATGACAACACAGCTCTGACCATTGTTGTTATCACGGCAACACAGTTTTGACCATTGTTGTTGTCATGTCAATACAATTTTGACCATAGTTGTTGTCATGACAACACAGTTCTGACCATTGCCTTTGTCATGACAACAAAAGCAAGACCAATATTGTTTTCAATGCAACAGAGTTCTGGCCATTGTTGTTGTCATGACAACACAGTTCTGACCATTGCCTTTGTCATGACAACAAAAGCAAGACCAATATTGTTTTCAATGCAACAGAGTTCTGACCATTGTTGTTGTCAGGTGTAGTCTGGCATTGTTTGCCCGAAAATATCTTTACCATTCATAATTACAAATACTCATCAATAAACCTTTACGCTTTATTATTATATAAAACTATGACTTAGTTAATCTACAACTATAATTGTCACCTGCAGCTGCAAATACAAGAAAAACAATAAGAATATCAATACTTTTTACAACATTCATAAAAAACAAATGTAATTATTTTGAAGCTGATTAATAAAGTTCTAAAATAAAATTTAATTATGCAACGTAAACATTCCCATATTGTTGTTTCAGCCAAGTTTTTTTAACACCTCATTGTAGATTTACGACCGGGGAGATTAAATAAATATTTAAAGTTCAACGCCTAATACCTTGAACGTGTAAAATTATAGTCCATTGATCTAGACATTCAGATAATATGTCTGATCCTAGTCTTTTTGTGTCACCATTTGTAAAATGGCAGAGTCACCAAGACATAAAACTTAACCTCATTAATTGACATTATAGTCCTGAAGTCTGTTTGTCTCCAATGCAACCCCTGGACTGCTTTTCCCGCCAGTTTTTGTTTTTGTTTTACGTATGGTTTACAACGTGCAGTTCCAGTTCCATTGTATTAGTGTAAACTGAGCGTCTCACATTTATATGATAAGAACAGATTAAAACTGTAAAACTGTTGGCTTCTGATTTTTTTGTTTTATGGTATTGTTGATATACATTTAAAATATTAAGACGACACATTCTGTGGTATCGAAAGTACTTAATACTATAAAGATCAGCTTCATCTTGCAAACAGATCCGATTTACATTTACTATGGAATAATAACTAACCAGATTTTTATGAATCCGGGAACCGGGAAATAAAGATAAGAAAATGAATTCTTCAAACCAGTCATAATTGACCGGGTATAAAAGACCGAGTATATCCCTTTTTTCCTTCAGTAGAGCAAACAAACCACGTAAATAAATATATTAACTGCAATATTTATTCATTTACATTACATTATAAGGAATTGTACGGATTAATTAATTATACTTTGGTGATAACATATTCGTCGTAATTTGTAATTTAACTTCAAATGTCACATAAATATGTGTGCTTCTGCAAAATAATGCATTTTAAATTTAGAAATACATCAATAGTTATTCATAAACTTAGAAATGAAAATACAATTGTGAACCAATAATTTATTTAAAGTGAAAATTAATATGTTGTTGCAACTTTTAATATTTCATGCAAATCTGAATGACAGAAAGTCATATTAACTAATAACTAGCATCCGGTACCCGGTATGCGCGCAATGCCGTTTAGTGACATTACGGATTGTTATCCAGTGGGCTATATAGTAGACAAATCCCGTGAGGTAAATTAAAATTTATAAACATAATTTCAGCGAAAAGAACCTGGAAATGTCCGTCTGACTTTCTGTTGATGACATAGCTGGCTATCGTATTAGGATTAATGCCCACGCACGGCTATTTTTAAAAGAATCTTTTAATAAGTGGTTACAAAGACGGCAGTGAATAATTTGCGGCACACAACTGCAGTATATTGCACGTGCGGAAATGAAAGGATATAATCCCGATATATAAAATATCGGTTACAATATCTAATATAGATTTCTTATACAAGTACACCGAACATCCTGCATTCTGTCTGGAAATTAATATTTTCTGACAGCAGTCTGGAATTGTATGTAATTAAATGATGAGCTATTTTATGAAAGAAGGCATAGAATATGACGGCATATATACACAAACTTGGAGCACATACAAACCTGTACATAATCATGTGCATATCTGTAAACTCGTGTTCTATTTCAAAGTGTTTGTACTTAATTTTCTAACGTTGTATGCATATTCACTTTACGCAGTGAAATATGTTTCAATAAAAATGAATAAATAAATAAATAAATTAATTAATAAATAAATAAATAAATAAATAAATAAATAAATAAATAAATAAATAAATAAATAAATAAATAAATTAATTAATAAATTAATTAAACACTTATTGCTGATATTATATGTAGACATACACAGAGAAAAAGTTAACTAGATAACAAATAGCAAAACAAATGATCGGTTAAACTAATGCATCAATACCTTTGATATAAAATGATAGATTGGTATCATTTTCATATAGGAATTGTCAAATTATAGAATAGTATTTTCATTTTAAAACAAAAATTGTAAAAATCAGCATTTTCATTTCTGGACATTGTTTAATTTGGTATAATTATTGTGGCAGTTATTAAAGGGATACAAAAAATCAAAATGTCCTCTTTGAAAAAAAGAAAACATTTTAGTTTTAAATGGAGTTGACTTCTATATTTTGTCGTGACGCGGCTCAAATGTGTTTTCCCAAACTTACCCATGGGTATAAACAATTCTCTTAAATTTACAAATTGATTCTTTGGTGAACGGGAGAGCGCCGTTTAGCTATAACTCCCCGCATTTGCAGAAATCCGGACAACATCAATATGGATCTAAACATTAGAGTTCATTTCTCACGGAAAGAAATGTTAAAGCAACTAACAATATACTTTGTTTTAAATAAAAGCATTTGCAACATAATCGTCTCTATCATGTTGTTCTCATGGAGTCGATGTTCTCTGGGATATCCAATTTACCGTTAACCCCTTACCTCTCTAACAATACGTAATGGACGTGTCCATTTTACAATGTGGACAAGACCTTTCCTTATTTACAGGGAAAATTTTCAAAATATGTACTGACCGAATAGCGAACAGTGCAAACCATAGAGGGCGGCTGATCTTGGTCTTGGTAGAGTAAGCAAAGAAAATGTTTTATGTGATGGTATCTCATAAATTCTTGGCAAACCACACAACAACTCCTTGTTTAAGCATTTATTCATGCAGATTAATAAAGAAATTATCATAAAGTAAATTCATTGCCTATTCTTTTCCAGTTGAAGAATTATTTCCTGGCCGATTTAGACATTCGCCATAAATCCGGCCTTTTAGATATCTCCCAGCAGGTTGCGAAGATTCACAAGTTTAAATTGGAAACTCAAGCTCTGTGGGATAAGTTACAGGTAAATTCACATTTCTTCTACATTTAAATGTATTATCATTAATATTAAACTGATATTTCAAGCCCATATGAACATGTACGGTTACATTTTTTTTTCTTAAAAAAAGAATGAAAGAAATAAATCTGACGAAATCAGACGAGTTATGAACATATACACTCATAGTAAATTACCATCTAAGTATTCAGGGGAATTTTGTAGAAGCCAAAACAATAGCATAGGCTTTCCGACTTGCACGTATACATGAACTTAATCATGTTATACAACCAGAATTAGTGTATACATTTTTATAACATACCGTGTTAGCACACATTTGCTGTCATTAAAATAAACCGTAATGTAATTATTTATCTTTCTCTATTCAAAACCTATTATTTACTCATCAGGTACCAACAGATTTCAATGATTTCGAGGGATACAAAGGCATCATTCTAGAAACAAAAGAAAAGACGGCCGTGCTTCAAGTAATAATGCAGGGCATATTCGGCTCATGCAAGAAGTATAAATACCATTTAGAACCTGCGCCGGAAGTTGAAGAGTTTTATGAGAGAGATATTATCGCTCACGTTGAGGAAATAAAAGTCACGACACTTCTCCCGCCATTTTTATGTGTGAAAACAACAGATGACGATGATGATGACGACGAGTCTGTATCAGATTTTACGTCCTTAAAATCTATAGAAGGTTTTGAACATGTATGTGGGAAGAATGAAACTGCAAACGAGACATGTTGTTTCACGGGCTGTGCTTATATAACCGACGATTCTGTTCTCTTAGCTGATTGGTCTAATGGCTCTATAAAATTGCTGAATAAGCAAGGACTGGTGGCTGACTATATGCAGTTTAAGAAAAGTCCATGGGATGTTGTAAGAAACTCTAGTGGTCAAGTAGCGGTGACCGTTCCACATTTACAAAAAGTATTCATTATTGAAGCTGAGCCGCATCTTCGGATTGTCGGACAATTCAGCACGAGGTGTGATTGTTTTGGAATATGCAAAATAGGCGATAATTATGCAGTGACATGTGACCCGTGGAGTAAAATGCCGTCTTTACGGGTTTTTAATGAACTTGGAAACGTGTTGCTTAAAGTGCAGACGGATTCACTTGGAGATAACTATTTTAAATGTCCATTACATGTGTGTTCCGATTTTTTCAGTACTGTGATGTATGTGTCAGACTCTACTGCTGACTGTGTTTATGCCATTTCCGTTTCCGGTAGCATAATCTTCTGTTACAGGAACGAATATCTCGAGTACCCGACTGGTGTTGAAACAGACAGAAACAACTGTTTACACGTCTGTGGGAAAGTGTCATCAAACATTCACAAACTTACAAATAAAGGAGAATTACAGGAAAAACTTCTGCAAAACAATGGTGATGTACAACATCCTTGCGCAATCGCGTTTCATCCAGATGGTGATCACATGATCTTAACTGACCTTAAAGGTGACATGGCCTCGGGTTACTGGAAATTACATTTCATGTAGACAGTAAATGTAAAGATTAAGTAGAAAGGTACATGTATCGCATTTAGGGAAAAGGGTAGAAACGAAGATGTTAAACATGTCTGTATTGATACATAAGCGGCTGATTGAAGGTATTTTCAAAAGGTCTAACGCTACAATATCACATACTGATGAACGACCGTGATAGCACAAGCATGGAGAAATGCAAGAACTGTTGATGTATATATGTAAATTTTCTTTTAAAATATCGGTAAAGTTTGGCCGGCCAAACAAATTTAATGCAACAAATTTTCCATTTTTAGAAGATCATCTTATTGTAAAATATTAATTTAATTTATGTGGGATTTATGAACCATTTACAGTATTGAGTCATTTCAGTTGTAGATCATAACCTACATTATGTGATGTAGATCATATCATACATTATGTGATGTACATCATATCATACATTATGTGATGTAGATCATACCATACATTATGTGATGTAGATCATATCATACATTATGTGATGTAGATCATATCATACATTATGTGAGGTACATCATATCATACATTATGTGATGTAGATCATATCATACATTATGTGATGTACATATTGTCGCTTCATTTATGTGATGTACATATTGTCGCCTCATTTTGTGACTGGATCTGTCTTATTTCTCATTTTGTTACACACGACGCGGATAACAAACACTCCTATAATATATATAGCTGCCAGTTAAGATCGGAATATCCGGCTCGAGGGCGAATGTTCTAGACTATATATCGAGAATCTGCTTCAAATACGCGAGACCGAGATATTCCTGCCAGTGTGTGTTTCATTTTTCGTTTAAATGTTACATATTAATTTAGGTTTGAAAAAAAAATAACGAAAAGAAATATACTTCTATGAAGCACTTTTTTCTTATGAAATAGCGTATACATTTAACATTTTTATTCATAACGCCGGTGAAACGACGACTTTTCAAGTACGCGAATCATCCAAGAACTAGAGAGGTTACGATAACATTTCTACACTAGAAAGTTTGACATGCAAGAAACAAATAACGACTCTCAATCTGTGATAGTGCAATGTAAATTGTCTCTATAGTGAAGTTTTTATCATTATAATTGTTCTCAATATCAGAAATACATTATACATAGAATTACATTTTAGAATGTTCCATGTCAGTGATATTAAATCATATTGCTATAAAACTTTGTAAACAATATATTAATTCATGTACGTAATATAAACTAGAAGAACTTTGTTTATGTTAGATTTTTAAACAATATAAGTTTGTGCATGGTTACTATTTTTGTTTGAAGTTTACCAACTTCTAAAAGAAGCTAAACGTGATATCGAAATAACAACAACAACAACAACAGCGACAGCAACAATAACATGAAAATCTAAAAGCTGCCACAGAAACATTTTAAAGCTAGTGTATCAAGATAAAGCTGTAATTTAATGAACGACAGTGAGAGTGTACTTAAATCAATGATTCTCGGTGTCATAGTCTTATGTTATTTTATCAGTTTGTTTGGACACTGTGTAAAACGATCATACTAGTGGTACAGATCGATCTATCTATTGGACCAAATACCTGTTTCAGTCAAGCTCCAGCGGGATTATTTGTTTTACGTTCTTTGATCAAACAATGAAACAGAGCTATATTTGTTGCTATAGGTGAAAATGGCAGCAGAAAAATAAATACAATAATCACCTTTACTGATTATTCTGTTGATACTTTACTGGCTCCATTAAACTCGCGCTATTTCACGTGGCTTTGTTTTCATTCAATGGTTTTAGTGTGCTTCATTTTTATATCTTAAATGATATTAAATTTCACACGATACATTTGTAAATATGAAATGTTTATTGTTTAAGCATTGATAGAAACAATACTACACAATATAGGTGAAATTATCAAAGAATGCAGGAAAAAACACACTTAAATAACATTTATGTAAGTGACATTTATATAAGTGAATTTTAACTTGTATTTCAAATATTTAATCAAACTATTATAACTGCATCTGGTAATTACCATTTTGTTATATTTTTCAAGATTTTGTGTTACCATTGACGAACCTTTCACTCATAAGAGTGCAAAATATTGAAAACAAATAAACCTTATTATGAGTTTCAAAATAACAGCTCTTCTGTTCCCTCGAGAAATGTCACGCAGTCCAGTTGAATGTCTTTTATAACGTATTTTCATTAAAGAATAAACTTAGTAAGAATACGACTATTCCGATCATCAATAATGCACTCGAGGTGACTTTGAATTTCCACGCGCGCAGTCCTTTAATAACGCATTAACCATGGCAAATTAATACGGCATTGAGGGACTTTCGAAGAATAACATGTAAACTTGATTTTTGCATTATTTAGCTACGATATTGTTAGCAATAAATAAGAATCAATAATGGTACCAAGATGCTATTAGCTGTCTACGTATCAATAAATATATGATAAATTAGTGTAGGCGAATGACCTTTTTAATGTTTTAAAGATTTTATATTGCCTACTAATGCTTTGCAGGGTTTCTCCAAAAGTCACGTAAATATTTTTGTAATTCTTGTATAAAATACAACCAAATCTAAATACACTCAAAGACTATAATATTGGCTTTATTTTGATTTTTATCTATTGACACATTTATTACTATGTATGAATTTTGATTAAATGTAGATGTCACGCCCATAATGAAGTATTTCCGGATTGGTAATATTTGTTTATTTTCATACAGACAAATGTTTCATTTTGAACAAATCTGCCAAGTAAGTTTCTAACATACATAATATTGTCACAAACATTTCTTGTCCTTTGGGTATAAAATGTCCTGATATTTGAATAACAGCTATTTTCTGTGATAAATATTTATTCAGCGTATTATTTGATATGTTATCAGTATTTGTATGAATACATAATTATGTTTATAATGATTTTCTATTTTGTAAATTTGTTATATGTATCTGCTATAACAAGATTTGTTTATATGTATTTTTGGTGTTATTATTGTGTTTTAGGAATAATTTTTCATCTTTATTGAATTTGTCACGCATATTTCATGAAATATTTATATGTCAGTCATTTTTCGTGCAATTGTTTATATGCCATCAATATTTCAAGCAACGTTTTTTTTTGTCACGCAGATTTCACGAATGTTTATTTGTCAGTCATTTTTTGTGTATTTGTTTATATGCCATGCATCTTTCATGCAATGTTTATTTGTCACGCATATTTCATGAAATGTTTATATGTCAGTCATTTTCATGCAATTGTTCATTTGTCACGCATATTTCAGGTAACGTTTATTTGTCAGGCATTTACTAAGCTTTGTCGTACCTATTTTATGCAATGTTTTTTTTCATTGTCATTCGTTTTTATGTAATGTTCATTTGTCACGCATAATTCAAGCAATTTTATTTGTCAGGTATATTCTATATATGCTTTGTCATACCCATTTTATTCAATGTTTATCTTTATTTGTCATTCGTTTTTCATGCAATGTTTATTGTCATTTGTTTTTCATGTAATGTTCATGAATATTTCATGTTGTTTTTATTCGTCACGCATTTTTCATGCAATGTTTATTTGGCATTACTTTTAATGCAATGTGTTTTTGGCGTTCATTTTTCATGCAATTGTTATTTGAAACGCATATTTTATGCAATTTGTATTTGTCAAATATACCCCATGCAGTGTTTTTTTTGTCACGTATATTTCATGTCATGTTTATTTGCCACTCATTGTCATACCTATTTCAAGCATTTTTTGTCATGAATATTATTTTAGTTTTTTTATTCGTCATGTAATGTTTATTTGTCTCGATATTTCATGGATTGTTTATATATCATGCAATGTTTATTTACCATACATATTGCACGCAGTTGTTATCTTTATGCATATTCCATGCAATTGTTATTTGTTACATGTATCCATTGATGATATATTATATATAAGAAGCACTGTTTTTTTTTCTGTTATAGTGCGCAGTGACGTACAAATACAGTAAAAGTTGACATGACGTCTGTTATGCAATAAATGATTTCAAAGGATAGTCGAGTTGTTCATTTAATTTTATTTTTCACCTTATTACATACATGTATAACCGACGCACTTTCAGAATTTGCATCACGTGATGTTCCAAAAGAAATCAATATTGGACCCATTCTAATCCATTCAGTCTCCTTTTTATTTTCAGAGTAAAAAAAAACCAAAACGGATTATCAAATCCATGGCACACCCTTATAGCCTCGCTTTCATTTCCAGAGTCCAAAAGGTTAATATCAAATCCATATCGCACCTAATATGACCTCGATTTTATTTTGAGTTCAAAAATTCAAATCAAGTTCTTATTGTAACTGAAGCAAGAAATTTCTGTCATAATGTCAAAAAATGATGATGTGGAATAAAGAGGTCATTAAATATGGTTGGGAACAATACTTTTGGACTCATACACAGCTGCAAAGCATATACCAGACTCTGCTAGCACCTCGTCCAATATAGTTCTGAAATTTCAATAGAATTCTGTATTGTCCTCAACAATGTAAAATAACAATATCATATTCCTGTTGCTGTGGTATGTGTGTATCAACTTTTACAACTTTCTTAAGGTCGATTCTCGAAACAATTGTAGTGCAATGTATTATTTAGCACACATGCATATTGCACGTAAACAGGATGAAATGTTCCAGAACAAAATATTATGCTACTTTTTATCTGTTTTGCAATGAGTTCATGCATATGCCATTCGTTCCGAAGGAAACAAGTACATGTATTTCGAATAATTCAAACAATTATTTGTAGATACAGGAGATTTATAGCTTCACGCACTTAAATCCCACTGCTGTTTTTCATTGACAGCTAAATTTGCATTTTATAAATGTGTTAAAGTATTTTTTCCCTCGGTCTACCACTTTGTTTTGTTTTATTGTCTTTGTATCTTTGTTTTATATGTATATGTATAAAAGAGTCTTTAATACATAAACGATCTAACCGTTCACAAAAGAATAATCAACGAATAAACCAGTATAATGTGGAAATATATAAATGAATTAGGAAACATTTTCCCGCTACTTATAGACATGTTTGTTGACTTTTTGTTGATGTTCGAATCACCCAAAGGCGGGGTTTCTGATGCAAACTGCAAGGATAAGTTCTATTTTGCCAAAAGAACGTTGATGACATTTACGCTTGAAGTCCAGACCCCAGAATATGAACAAGAGCCGAGAGAAAAACCCATTTTATCAACGTAATAAACAAAACAAAATTCTATATGTTTCAAAATCAAACTCTTGAATGGCATTTTCATATTTTTACAACTTGTTTATATATCTTTGAATATGTTTTTATTTTAAGACTTAAAAGATGCCCCATATGCATGGGCACATGTTTTAGTTGTCGGAACAGATGTGTCAAAGGGCAGGCTATTTGACGGGGATAATAAATGTTTTTTTTTCATATTTGTAAAAAGGAATTAAAGTGATAAGTTAATTGCTATAAATTCCATTAAGTGTCCACTAACTTTTAAATATTAATTTGTGATAATTACAGTGGAAACAATTGTAGAAACAGAACAATAGTCCGTCATATATTATCAATATTTTTTTTTCTTTTAACATGATTTATGTATTGACATTGTACAAATTCTAATAAAAACGTTTTGAACTGTAACGAGAAAAACTATTATATGACATTTACAACATAAATTGAATTTCCTTCATGAGTTATGACGATACTCTATGTTAATTAATATAATACAATAAAACTGCCATTGGGTCAATGTCTAATTAAAACGGATCCTTTGTTCAAGTTAAAATATAACATCTTGTTATTTATTGATCAATTTAGAAGGTACAAAATTAGAAACATACAAAGCATAAAAACAATATATAACATACAACAAAACGTTTCTAATCTACAACTAAACGTCCTTCATCACAAATTGTTTCATTATTGGATATGTTATTTGCTTTTTAAGTCTGAATTTGATATTCAAGCTACACAACACATGTTCCACTTTCAAAATCACATTATATTTTGTTCCGATTATTATTGCTTGTTTACAGCACAGTCATTCTTTAATTTGGGAACCACACTCCACTTTTCATGAAATGACATTGAAGGTTTCATTATCTCCACCATGTCACATTAACACAATTGCGGTTGTTTCTACATGTTCTAAATTCACAATATATAGTTGTCAGGTATAAATGTATAAATGTCGAATACTGCTGAAGCCGGTGCTAGAGGGAGTGGCCGGAAACTTGCACTTACCACGACAGTCCATGGATAGGCTAACTTAAACAGACCCTGCATCATTGTCATTTTATGTTTTCCGTTGAAAGCGATCTTTGGGGAGTCTTCTTTATAAATAAATACAAAAGAAACCAACAACAACAATAACAAAATCTTAAATAATAATAATAATAATAATAATAATAATAATAATAATAATAATAATAATTAATAATAATAATAATAAAACTAACTGTATAAGGCAATGGTAACGCAGATTGCTGCGGATCATTTGTATATGGAGGTTAAAACTGGTAAGTAACTGATATGTGGAATTTTGTTGTGACAGTGAAAAAAAAATAAAATAAAGTAAAATGACTTTGAGTGTTTTATTATACCGTTACTTAAAATAACAAGTATTTGATTCGAGATTATCAATTTGAAACTGGAGTTTCAATAATTATTATATATATAAAGTTAAACCTAATATTTACAGAACAGAAGGTCACTAACAAAGAGATGAATTCTCTATTCATTCCCTTCTATTACAGTAACAGGATCAATTCTCGGATTCTGCACCATGTCTGGTACTGTATATTATATAATGTAAAACTAACATAGACATCAATGTACACATCAACCTCCCAACATATGAAGAAAAATAATGAACATTACTTTCAGTCTCAACAATGAGTACAATATTATCTACACAATTATATTAAGATGGAAATAAAATCATTTTCTCCATAAATTCCTAATCCGAGCAGCAAAGACTTCTATCAGCAAATAAACAGTAATCGTGATAAGGGGCAACATTGTGAGACTGCGGACTTAGACTGTATAACACAGTGGTTATATGACCTATAGCATAATATCATGGTTACCTTCAAGTCCTATAAATGAAGGTATTACTTAACAAAAGTCAGTAAACGAAAAAAAAAAGATAACTTCTATTTTTCCCTCTAGTTTGTACAATATTACATATGATCAACAGCAACCTTTCATTTTGTAATTTTGATCGTGTCTTTATCGTTTGATTCCGTCCATTTTGATCTATGGTCATCTAAATCATTTTGTAAATTAATTGCTTTGCTGTACGGCTTTATCGTGGAAATTTACCGAACCTTACGAACATTTCAAGTCGCATTATGATACACAGAATGTATTCCAAAGACAATATAGCCTTTTTTCGATCAAGCTTGACCAATTTTTCTTTCTTATTCAATAGTTTATAGTTGTTAGTTTAGACATTTAAAGTGTAACATTTTTATATATTTCTTGCCAACCATTAAGGCACATATCTGCATATACAGTACCTTTATTACAAGATCCCTATTCTCTGTTCTCCTTTCTCCGCCCTTGTGTCCTCTCCAGTTTTGGGGTTCTATGCTGCCCTGCTGGTGTGGCTAGGTTGTGTCGGGGGCTACGTTCTATGTGCCCCTGCTGGTGTGGCTAGGTTGTGTCGGGGGCTACGTTCTATGTGCCCTGCTGGTGTGGCTAGGTTGTGTCGGGGGCTACGTTCTATGTGCCCTGTTGGTGTGGCTAGGTTGTGTCGGGGTCTACGTTCTATGTGTCCTGTTGGTGTGACTAGGTTGTGTCGGGGGCTACGTTCTATGTGTCATGCTGGTGTGACTAGGTTGTGTCGGGGGCTACGTTCTATGTGTCATGCTGGTGTGACTAGGTTGTGTCGGGGGTCTACGTTCTATGTGCCCTGCTGGTGTGACTAGGTTGTGTCGGGGTCTACGTTCTATGTGTCATGCTGGTGTGACTAGGTTGTGTCGGGGTCTACGTTCTATGTGTCCTGCTGGTGTGGCTAGGTTGTGTCGGGGTCTACGTTCTATGTGCCCTGCTGGTGTGGCTAGGTTGTGTCGGGGCTACGTTCTATGCGCCTTGCCTTGTTTATGTTTTGTAAACTGTATTCTGCCTTAAATATCAGTGATGAATACAATTAATAACATATAATACTTTTAGCAATACTCCATAACATGATGCATTATTATTTATTAATTCTGGATGAATTTTCTAAGAATTCCATTACTTCGCATATCTGTTCATATTCAGTTGAATAATGTGCGTGTCTATAACGAGAAATTAATGAGGGGAAATAAATGAAATGGAAATTTGAGAGAAGATCAGAGGTTATGAAGCTTGCGCATGACAGGCAGTTGTCATGGATATTGTTTTGATTTTTTTTATTATTTCTGTGTACTGTCTGTCTTATTTGTTTGTATGCATAAAATGTTAAATGTGGCCCTAAATACATCACATTGAGAAAAAAGGAATCTACATATTTCTATGATTACTTATATTTAATTGATAATTCATGTGTTGATTTTAGTGTCGCTGACTTCAAACCACTTTTCACTTACTGCTGTTGGCATACCTATGAGGAAGGTATCCAGCTAGCTTAAGGACCGTCAGTGGTTCTATTCAGGGGCCCGCTTGTGTCTGAAATAATGCACGGAGGGGTACCTACAGCTGAAAAGTCACATTAAGACCTTAAGTGTGTTGTCAACAAAACAATCTTCCTTCGTCTATTTATAGAGATCACTTTTGTAAGAATTGATGCAACATTCCAAATCTAGTTGTCAGCATACATGGCAAGGTTTGAAAAGAAATTGTCAGCGAAATATTGAAGTTACATAAATTTAACTAACTTGTAACAGCTGAATTACAACCCGCTGTGTTCATAAAATATTTAGACAATATTTCCAGACCATAGTATTCTGACACGGCCTTTTACCATATAGACGAGATAAATTATGCATCTCTTGTTTTTTCCCTATTCATAGTTCCTACTTCAGTACAC